AAAACAAAACAAAACAAGACAAAAAATAAAAACAAAACAACCTCTGCAGTCACTTTCACCTGGTTGCTGAGATTTATGAAGGGATGCACCTATTCAAAATGGAATATGCTAAGTATGTCCTAAATTAACTCAAGGTGAAAAGTAGCAGGACAGATTTGGTACATATCTCTCAAATTAACAACCGATTTCTCTGCGTCACCTCCATATAAGAAAGAGAGAGAGAGAGATAGAGATAGAGAGAGAGAGAGAGAGTGAGAGAGAGAGAGAGAGACAAGGAGAGAGAGAGAAAGAGAGAGGAGAGGATTGAGAGAGAGATGGAGAGAAAGAGAGAGAGAGACAGACAAACGTCAGAGACAGACAGACAGACAGATAAACAGACAGACAGACAGGCAGATAGAGAGAGAGGGAAAGACAGTGAGAAAGGAGAGAGAGGGAGAGAGAGAGAGAGAGACAGACAAACAGACAGACAGACAGACAGACAGACAAACAGACAGACAGACAGACAGACAGACAAACAGACAGACAGGCAGACCATTATCGTCTTTATCATCCCCGATGTTTGGCCCTTTGAGTAAGAGTGGTGGCTGGTGTATGTTGCTCCTTTTTTCCTAATAAACGTCTATCCTCCTTTCCTCTCCTCCTTTTTCCTAATAAACGTCTATCCTCCTTTTTTCTCCTCCTCCTTTCCAAATAAACATCTATCTTCCTTTTCTCTCCTCCTTCTTTTCTCTGCACGTTACTCTCTCGTAACACTAACAGGACTTATTAGAGTCGCCACAAAACTCTTATACGGGGTGTCCGTTGGGGGATCGGGTCGGGTCGGATCGGGTCGGTTTGCTAGTCAGATTGAGGGCACAAAGCAGCTATCGTGTCACAAGCCGATCGCTTCCGACTCGTCGCCTGAAAACAAACGTGTCACTGGTGTGAGTGTCTGTTTAGTTAGAGAGAAAGCTCTCCTTGTATTTTAAAGAAACTGAACAAGGGTCCAAAAACTTTACCTTCGATTTCCTCAAAACAGCATTTTTCGGGATAGCCCCACTGTGCTTAAAAACGACCATAAGATATGTAACGCGGTGAAATCAGGCGCTCGTCAAATTAACGAAACAAAAGAAAAGGGCATTTTCACGTCAGTTTGGCAATTTTTATCGATTTTTTGTTTTTTAGCTCAACACCTTTTATGGCCATAAAAACACATTTCCGTGTGAGTTTGACAGAAAAACATTGATTAAGGGCATAAAATATATAATTTTCCGGTTTTCAAGGACCCTCAGGCCACTGAATTTTTCCGAAATTTGCCAGCCGTTTCCTTGCTAATTCTACCACTGAAGTCAGGTTACTCCAACATCTTCAATCGCAAATATCTCAACTTCTATTCAAGATAGATGGGGGGGGGGGGTTCTTTGAAAGTAAGGCAAATGAACAAGCTTTTAGATAATACCAATAACTCCACATGACCAAACATTGACGAGCGCTTGATTCTACCGTGTCGTGACACATATTTTCTTCTTCAATGTGAGAGAGGAGACCTGAGCTCCTGAGCTTTACGGACTTCCAAAATTATCTGACCAGTCGTCAGGTCTGGCGCAGTCAACGGAAACTGGGCAGGGTTAGAAGTGACGTAAACAGGCTCTCTGTATTCTGATCAGGGACGGAGGAAGTGATTCTTAATGGAAAAGGGGAAAGAGGGAGGGGGGGGATGAGAAAGAGTGAAAGAGAGAAAGAGAGAGAAAAGGTTAGAGA